CTTTTAAACCTCAACGTTCAGATCTCGTGCCATCTGATATGCTCTCCATAGGACATAAAGAGACCTTTTAATTTTGGATTCCTACCCATGCCACCTCAGGTGTGATAAACTCTACTACATTAATGCTTAGTGTTTACGTCACTTTCCCTTTCCCATTAATCATGCCACCCACAAGTTGGGAATAAACATATCATTATCGATATTTTTCGAAAGAAAGGATTTTAATGGAAGAATAAACAGAATTATGCCGGGAATTTCAATAGCCATCAGTTTGACGATCTGCACAATTTGAAACGCTGTAAATACCACCATAATTACCTCGGTATATTGCAGCTGGTCGTGCTGAAAGCGACCCGAAATAGGAAGCAAACCTCGCGAACCACATTTACGAGTCACATAGTATCCATGGATTCGCGAAGTTACGGACTGACGCACAGAGTGGACGCTTTTGCCCAAGTTTCCGGGTAGTACTCTTGCAATCGCAAGGACTCGCATAACTACATGTACAGTATTGCTTTGAACTACGCTCTAGAATGAGCATGGGCAACCGTCGGGGTAGGGGTGGACCACACAGCTCATACCAGAAATGAGGGAAGAATATGCCTGATGAATATGTGCGCTCTGAGCTTGAAAACCTCTTAGTATGTACCATCCGTGTGTTTGCTGGGTCAACGGTAAAAACCTATTGGCCAAAATTTGTTCCAACAGGGCATAGGTAACAATTAGGTCCCGTCGGAGTTGACGATCTTCCGGCGGAAAGGGGCCGAGCACCGCGAGACGCGTTTCGTAATCCACGGACTTGAAGTCAACAAGCATTTTCGTGGCGGGTTGCTGGACTCACTCAATAGGAGTAACGTCTTTGGTGCGTCCTGAATAGACAACCTGGTTGACATATTGAAGGAGCGGTCTGACGGAGACCCAATGGCGTATTTAGAAGTCAATGCGAGTAATACGGGAAAAGGTGCGCCAAACCATCCGTAAAACAGCGAATGCCTTTTGGGCCAATTTATAATGATGCAACGAGAAGCACAGTTTTGAAGAGAGCCAGATGTCCAAGTCCTTTTTAGCATTTATCCTCATGATGTCTTCTGATATTTCTCAACATGCACGGCAAAGGCTCTCGCTAAGTCTCCTCCAAATGTCACATGGACGCACTTCTCGTCATTTGGAGGAAAGCGCCAGTCCAGCGAACACTGCTTTGCAGCGTCTACATCCATTTGGAGAGCACGGCATTTAAAATCCAGGATTTGAACTCGCCCACAAAAAGTAGATATGGGCTTGCAAGAGCATCTGGAAGGTCGTTGCCGCGAGATGGCCGAAGTGGTTAGAGCGCGGATTACTAACCTGAAGGTCCGCGGTTCGAATCCGACATCCGCCACTCGACTTCCCCTGTCTAGGCTTGGGCAACCTGTATCTATCCCAGCCCTCGTGCTTCCTTCGGGTGGCATGGCAGCTAGGCACCGGAAGGGTGCTACAGCTGAACGCTTTATCTTTATCTTTCTTTTTTTTAGATACGGGCTTGCAAGAGCATCTGGAAGATCGTCGACGTATGTCAGAAAGAGCATTGGCCTAAAACGGGGCCTTTATTAACTCCAATGGAGACCGGCGTTGAAGAAGAGAAGGTGGAGCCTATTTTCACCCGAAAATTATCTGTCTGATAGGAACGTCATGACCCAGTGTAGGATTTTCCATTTAATCATGTAAGACACGAGTTTGAGCAGTAGGATGTGTAAGAGTCGATCAAATATTTTTGAGAATTCGAAAAATATGGCATCCTTGGGTTGAGTTAATCGGTACATAAATACGGGCATGTTCGTCACGCAAAAACGGTTTGGGAGAAATCCGCGTTGAGCTGGAGATATCAAATTGCTTGAAGTGGGTGATTCCAACCCACAATTTGAGAATATACATTATGATTATCATCAAGGACTGCTCGCCTCAGAATGCCTTCCATCACCTTACACGGCGCGCCAGTGATGCTTACAGTCCTGTAGCTGGCAGGCGATATTAGGTCACCAATTTTGTAGATTGGCGCGACAATCGCTTCCTTTCAGCGGGGCGGTGGCGACATTCGTCAAGTAACTGACGGAATAGCAAGCATAAATTGTTTGCCAGTACGGTGAACATTTCCTCCAGGGTCCTTGGATGGACCCCGTCGGGTCCCGATCTTTTGCAAGAGTTGACGAATGTCCTCAACCGCAGAGACCATGTCGGTTAAGGGCTGTTCGTAGTTACGCCTTGACAAGACTGGATGTGACGAGGACGCTGGGGAGGAATATAGACCCGCGTGGTGTTTTCTGTAACCTTTAGATACCACTGTTGGATCACTCGTGGATTCTCCGTTCCTGTCCCTCAAGGAGAGCGCGAATGGCATGTTCCTGGAGCAATGTATCATGCATGTGAACAGTACATTTTTGTTTTCTCGGGCGAGTTCCAGAATGGTGGCTTGATGTCTTATTTCCCGTTGGCGGATTTCTGCTTTACAGCGGTTCCACATTTTATGAAATGCCAGCTCAGTTTCAGACTCCTGTAGTAAAGGTTTTGAAAAAAGTTGAGACCTCTTTTCCGGAAGACGCCAAATCTATTTAGACAGCCTGCGGCTCATCTGACTGCGTGCTGATCTTTGGCGAATATCGCGTTTGCCCCGTGAACTCTATGGAAGATTGTCCTATATAAGTCCTCCACTGAAGCTGGTCCCATTTTAACTTGTTCAAGAAAGACGCATATGCCGGAGCAGTTTGCACGGCAGACGTTTTGAATCCACTTTTGGTGTTGGAGATTTCTGGCCCAATAACAGATGAAATCAAAGGTCAGCACATAGTGGTTGCTCTGTCCCAGCAGCGCGTTGATTATTACCTGATCAACGGAGTACCTCTTGATGGTGATGGCTTGCACGGTATCTGGTGGGCGCAACGATATGCTGAGTCCAAGCGTTCTGTCGAACTATTTTGTTCAGCGCCACTGCAAAAAGTTCACTTGATCTGGCGCGCTGGAGCTATGTCCAGGAGGCATTTGGAGCGTTGAAATCGTCTACTAGCAGGAGATGCGTAAAGTGGTAGCTGGAGGAGATTTGCTCGAGAGTTCGTATGAGAAACTGATCATATTCAAGGGGACACGAGGGGCCACGGTAGACCACGCCGAGAAGGAGAAATCGGACCCGCACAGCGGGATTGGGATCCACAGTGAATCGCAAAAAAAGGTGCAGTAGCGGAAGCAGAGAGGACAACCTGGATGCGCAGGGCCGCATTCAAGTACAAAGCAGCCCCACAAGCTCCCTCTTTTTGAGTGAGTTCTAAAAACAGAGTAGCCGTCTATCGAGATCTTCACGACGGAGGCACCTAGTGTAAGCCAGGTCCCTGTGATTGCGATTACGAACGGCTTTTAAGGCAAACTGATTTATTATCGCAAAGTTTGTCGAAAAAGCTGAGGTAGTTTGTGGACAAGCATCCCAGCACTGTCTATCCTGCCTCTGAGTGTGAGAAGCCGAGAGTTTTGTGACCAGACAGGCCAGCAGACTTAGTAGTTGCACGTCGCGTTTGAGTCCAAGGCTCCGAAGGGGTTCTAAGGCACACCCGTCCGCTTCATGTCTTGGTGGTTTTGGAGATGCTTTTCATTTGCAGGGTATTTTTTGGCCCGCGGGAGCCCGGTTTGCGCGAGCCGTTAACCTTTCTTTTCTGTGTGGACACCCAAGCCGCCCGCGATCAGCGTAGCCAACTGGGTTTACGAGGGATGTTCCTTTCGCTGTGGTCAGGTTTATGGCTTTGGCTGTCAGGGGCTCAGGCTACGACTGTGTCCATAGTCAAAGAGGCCACTTTTGACGGCGTGGAACGCATTCTCAGTGGCTGTACGGTTGTCGAAGCATTCCCCGATGTTAAGGCCAACGCATGTGGGGGTTCTGTGGAGAGGCTTCACTGCTTGTCTCTTCACATCTGACCCAGTCTAAATCAGAAGTTATGACATGAGTGTAGATTTCACTGCTGCACCTTTTTCGTCTGTTACGGAAGGAAGCGATGATAGCTCTATGTACTTTTGGCGCTGCTTCCATTTGAGGCTTGCCTCCTTCAGAGTATCACTGCATTTGGCAGTCGAGGGGTCTGTGGTGCTCGAAAAAGAACTGTCGTCCGGAGACGCGGCCGTTTGCGTCGGCGTGCTTTCGGGAACACGACGGGCTGTGACTACAATCGGTTTGGCCATAAATTGGGGGCCGGCTGGGCTGACGCCCAGCGGAAGCCTGCTTCGCATCTCTCCCCTTGAACTGCTGTGGCCCAGCTTCCGCGCCTCTAGAGGGCTATCCACAGATAAATGCCATACCGTTGGGTGGGCTTTTTAAATGCTGACGGTTCGCTTCAAGATCTTCTGTACCGCAGATGGGGAGGAAAGGAAAATTAGAAGCCTAGGCGTTCGCTTGCTTCGCTTCTAGCGTAATCAATCCGCGTGAAGCAATTCTTGGTAAGCCATTGTGAGGATCATAACAAAAAGTGACCGTTTAGGCTCCTTGGTGTTAGTTTTTCAAAGACNTATCACTGCATTTGGCAGTCGAGGGGTCTGTGGTGCTCGAAAAAGAACTGTCGTCCGGAGACGCGGCCGTTTGCGTCGGCGTGCTTTCGGGAACACGACGGGCTGTGACTACAATCGGTTTGGCCATAAATTGGGGGCCAGCTGGGCTGACGCCCAGCGGAAGCCTGCTTCGCATCTCTCCCCTTGAACTGCTGTGGCCCAGCTTCCGCGCCTCTAGAGGGCTATCCACAGATAAATGCCATACAGTTGGGTGGGCTTTTTAAATGCTGACGGTTCGCTTCAAGATCTTCTGTACCGCAGATGGGGAGGAAAGGAAAATTAGAAGCCTAGGCGTTCACTTGCTTCGCTTCTAGCGTAATTAATCCGCGTGAAGCAATTCTTGGTAAGCCATTGTGAGGATCATAACAAAAAGTGACCGTTTAGGCCCCTTGGTGTTAGTTTTTCGAAGACCGACTTCCAGGTGATTATTCGGCCAGCGGACCCGGGATGGACATCGCGAGGTTCTCGTTCAGCAGGGAAATTTCTTTATCAACTTCCATCCAGGACGCCGCGTCCTTTGTGTTGACATCCTTCAGCGCCTTAGGAAGCGGCTCCAGTTTACGCCGAATATCCCGATCAAAGCGGAACACTGGCCTTGGTCTCTCTAATTGAGCAGTGGGCAATTGGACCCGTTTTCGTTAACTCTCCTCTTAGTTGTGGTATGCACTGCACCTGTAATTGTCTGGCTACCCAATAAGTTAGTTTAACAGGAGTCTGTGGCAAAGAAATAAAAATAATAACGCTAGGTTGGGTATACAAAAATAGAGATCAGATGGAACAGACTCACTAACAATTGTTCTCTTGAAAATAGTTCGTCGTTGGCCCAGGTCAGCGAATGAACAACAATCCAATTGTGTGGTCCAGAGGTCTTCTTCTGAACAGATTCCACATATAACAGATTCCGAAGATGTCTGAAATGTTTTGGTACCAGAGTTAGTACATGAGACTCGCGAATGACCGCTGCAAGCGCGAGCGAAATCAGAAGAGAGAGTCGAAGCACGTGACCACGCCGTGGTTATGTGAAATTGTACAAGGG